GAGACAAATAAACTTTTTGGCTCCTGATTGCTCATCAGATCTTTTGGTCACAGCAGCAAAAAAGTTGACAGGCGTATGGACAATTTCCAACATGTCACACTCCACTAAAACTGGGGAGACAGGTTGTCGAGGAAAACCTTAAGAAAATGCTTCTGTTTGAAATCCCACCTCCTGGAAAAACACCTCTGAGATGGCTGTGACACCAAGAGTTCTGCAGCCAGAAGGAAACGAGACCTTCCAACAACCCTGTGAGCAAGGGAATGGACCCTCGGATGAGACCCCCAGCCCAGCCCACCTTGGCTGAGCCTTGGAGACCCGCATCTGGGCCTTGCTAGGCGGGTCCCTGACTTCTGACCTCCAGAAACCGGGAGCACATACTAGAACATTGTTCCAGGGTGCTCAGGTGATTTACCAGGTAGCCACAGAGAACTAAAGCAGCCACCTGTGACAGGCCCCATGTGGGCTCCAGAGAACCACCCGGGACAGCTGCCCTGAGTTCCTGGGCTCACACTCTGGTGGGGGAGACAGCGCACACTCAGGAAGTGAAATCAGGAACCAAGCCAGCTACGAAATGCTGTCACCAGGATGAACATGGCTTTGAAAGGTGACCAGGGTGGGGCTGCATTGGGAGGGGCCGCGGTCAGAGGAGGCCAGACTGAGGGGACAGCTTTTGAGCTGAGATCCCAAGGGTGATGGGGAAGTGGCCCCAGCCAAGGGACGACACGTGGCCCGGGTCTTTGGACGGGCAGGGCTGGAGTCTCTTCTCACCCAACAAACCTCGGCTGCTCCCCGTTGATTTCTACGGTTGTCACGCACTGAACCTGTTCTACAGTGCTTACAAATGCTTCTTCACGCTCAGGATTCTCTCACAGCCCTGGTCATCTGTGGGGCAACGGGGAGGCCCTGAGAAGTGACCCACGGCTGGAACCCAGTGCCAAGAACCAGAGTGGCCAGAGGGCCCGCACGGCAGCTGGATGTCTGTTTTGTTTCATATACTTTTAAAATACGTGGATTCCTTTTCACGGTTGTCTGCTGTTTTGGCAAGGAACACTCATTTTCCATTAGTGCTAATGACATCAAGTTACTCTTAAAAATAGGCTTTGGGGGCGCTTAACTTGTACACAACACAAGTCAGCGATTTAAGTCAACATTCTGATGAGTTTTGACAAGCGTGGGCAGTCACGGGACCACCAGGACCGACGTGATCTAGAACGGTCCATCAACCCCCCTCCCCCTGGGCAGTCAGTCAGTCTCTACCCCGCCCGCCTGCCCCGACAGTGGCCACGCTTTCACTTCCGTTTTGAATTTTCTAGAACTACTTGTAAATGGGATCACGCGACGGTCTGTCTTCCTGTCTTCCCACGAGGACTCCGAGGCCCTTCCATGTGGCTTTGGTCAGTGGAGCTCTCCCTGGGTGGTGGTGCTGAGCAGCGTGGTTTTCCATCCCGTGTTTACATGCTCACTGGTTTATCGCTCATCGGTCCCCACGCATTTGTGTTGTTGAAGGGGGCTGTTGGGGATAGCACCGTGAAGTGTGGGTGTGTGTTTTAATTCTCTGGACAGACACCGAGGCCTGGGATCACTAGGCCAGACAGTGGGGGTGAGTTTATTTGCAAACTGGCAAAAACACCTCCAGCTACCTAGGAGTGTCCCCTGGGCTCCTAACCTTTGGGACCCCTGGATTTTGTTCTCACTCCTCTGGTTCCCAGAGGAGCACCACTGCCCCTCAACTGACGCTTGGATTCCAGCCCGGTGAGACCCTGAGTGGCCACAGCCACTCCATGTGGGACTTCTGACTTACAAAACTGAGATGATAGATGGACATTGACTTAAGCTGCTGAATGCAAGGCAATCTGTCACACAGCCACACAAACGTAATGCACCTCTCAGGAAGCCCTCCGTGAAATACACGAGGACCTTCTCTGGGAGCCAGGGAGCGCTGGGCCTGGCATGGGGACTTTCCGGGGCTCTCCTGCTGCAATAGATCGCCCGGTGCACGTGACCTTCCCCTCGCTCTGCTAGAAGGTCCCTCATGGTAGTTCCAGAGATGGGCGTACCCCGTTGGGCACTGAACAGCCCACCTTTATCCTATTTTGGTGAAGAACACTCTATGGAAGACCTTTGATATTTCCAGATATAAATAAAGCAGACGCGGGCTCCATTTGGGCAGCAGCTCAATCCGTCTGGTCATCTGGCCTGTCCTGTCCCCGCTTTGGAAACTACTTTCTGTGTTCTGGGGGGGGGGGGGGGGGGGGTTCACCATTTTATTTCTCTTAGCTTTTATTTCTCACCCAGCCCATTCCACCAAAGGAAAAACCCTACGAGAGTCGGGCTAAGAGATCCCTATGTTTCAAGAAAAATTATGGAGTTTGTAGTCCTTGGAGGAATGGGAGAATTTACCATAAATTTCTATGCAAGCAAAATGCACCCAGTTGGAAACTCAGGCACCCTGCTCCCCCCCCCACACCCCCCCGAATGGCCCCTGCGGGCGTTTGAACTCCTGACTCTGGTTTCCCGTTTCTGGAAACTTCTAAGAGCTCCTTGTCACAGCTCCCTGCAGAGAGCAAGGAATCTCAGGGCCCCGCATGCCTGGGGCACGCTCCGCTCACTTGGAGGTGATGTCATCCCTGCGAGCGCCAGGCCTCTGTTTGGAGGTGTTTTCTTCCGTTCTTTGTGCGGGTTCTTTGTTTTCCTTCTAAGACTCAGGAGCCAGTCCAAGCCCTGTTTGCTTCCCCGACGAGGACAAGGACGTGTTAACACCAACAGCCGCTCTGCAACCAGAGGCGCTGCTCCCTAATTGCAGGCTGCTATTGAAACACTCCAGCGCCAGACAAAGCCCCTCATTTGGGAGGAAAATTAATTGTACACAAACAAGAACACATTTCATCCTGAATTAAATTCTTTAACATTCCCTTGGCAGAGAACTCTCTGGCTGTTTCTTTTCTGTTTGGTGTCAAAGTTTCCCCCTTCCCTAGGAGAATTTTTGGCAAGTGGATCCAGGCTTACAGGTCCCCCGAGGGTTTTGCTGGTCACCTCCCTTTATTGCTCCTTCTCTTGCCCATTGAAGCTGCCATTGCTCCAGCCCACCCTGAGCCGTGACCCTCCCACCCCAGCCTGTCCCTTCCCATGCAGCCCCTCTGAGGAGTGAAATGGTCCCCAGTCCACAACACGCTGCTTCTCCCCGACGCCCCGAGGTACAGGAAAGATTAACCATGATGAATCGCAGCCAGCAGAAGACGCTACGCGGGGAAAGAGCCTGCGCCAGCCGCGAGGCCGAGATTTATTGCCGAGTGCCACGAATAATGAAATCATCCATCTTTTCCATGGACGGGGAATGGGCTCCACGGAAAATTTGAAAAGGGCAGCAAGGACAGTGCTGCCCCCTGTTGGGAGCTGGCTGTGACCCCTGCCCAGTAACCAGCCCCGCAGGCTGGGGACTGCACAGAGCAGGCGCCCCTGGCCAGCCACCTGTAGGAGCCAGGTTGTCCCTGACCCCAACCCACGACTCACCTGCAGAAGGAGAAGAGGGTCTCAGCTGTAACTGCCAACGCTATGACTGGATCCTGGTTCCTACAGTTTGTGATTCCCAGCTTCCAGGAACACAGCCCTTGTCTCAGTGATCCCAACGTGTCAATCACGGTCCCAACAAGAACCAGGCTGGCACTCCATCCGTAAGCCGAGGATTGTGTAGTATTAAGAAGCGGCTGGCCAAGGCGCGGGCCAATCTCAAAGCAGCGTGAGAGACAGGAAGGATGTCCCTGGCCTTCAGCACAAGGCGGGAAACAGCAAGGTCCAGGGACAGCCAGGGCCTCCCTCTGAGGTCCCCTGCTAACTCTCCCACAGGCCAAGCATGACTAGAAGCCAGAGGGCAACAGAACCGCGGCACTCCTTGGGCTTGATGGACATGACCTCACCGCAGGACTCTCCTCGCCACCAGACGACCTTCCCTGATGGCCAGTTGGACCAGCTCCTTACCTCCTGGGTTTTCCTTAAACGTCGTAGGGATCTCGCCCCTGACCGCTCAACTTAAAATTGCAAATTCATCTCCCTTAGATGTCCGCTCCCCTCAGTCCGTGGCAGGTGTCACTATCCAACAAATTCTTCACTTGGCTTCTTGGTCTACATCCCCCCGTACACACCCCCGGCCATCAGCATGGCGCCCTCCAGCAGCCGCACGCGGGCCCTTCCTGGGATCTCACCACCGGCCACGTGCTGACCACATCCTCAACGTTCAGGTGTTCAAGCCCTGACCCTCAGAACATGGCCTCATTTGCAAACAGGGTCTTTACAGAGGCAACCAAGTTCAGACGGGGTGACCAGGTGGACCCTCCTAGACCACGGCTGACATTCTTATAAAAGAGATGGGCGGCAGAGACGTGCCGAGAGGGGAGATGCTGGGAAGGGAGGAGAAGCCCGTCCACCAGCTGGGGACAGAGCCTGGACAGAGCCGGAAGGAATCAACCCTGCCAACACGGATCTGGGCCTTCTGGGCTTCAGGTTACGAGATCACAAATTCCTATGGGTTAAGCCACCATCTGTGGCCCTTGGTTACCACAATCCCAGCAAACTAGCAGTCACCAGCGGGCAGGTTCCGCCTGGCCCCCTAGCCTTCTTGTTAAGTGAGCCAACATTCAGAATTCAAATGGTTTTGCATTTAAAAAAAAATCTCTTATTGAAATTCTGGACACTGGCAGTTCTGGACCTGCGTGGCCACGGGTGGGACCCAACTGGGAGGCGCCTCTCCGTGCGCCCGTCTCCCTCTGGCCCCCTACAGGATCCTTGAGAATCAGCCTCTTGACACCAGGCGAAGAAGGGCCCCAGCCATGATCCTCCACAGCCACGGCTCCTGTGGGGCCTCCCCTGGCTGAAGTTCAACCAGGGTCCCCCTGTTCCCCCTTGTCCCTCTGCAGCTGGGGCTGGCCCTGGGGTGGCTGGGTGGTGCCACCCTGCTCAGTTCCCTCACCCCAGCCCCCTCCTCAGGGTGATTAACAGTCTCCTCATTCAGTCTCCTCAATTCATGGTTTTAATGAGCTCTCGTACCCTGCCCTGAAGAGCAGGAACCTAAAACATCAAATACACAATGACATCGCCTCAGCCAGGATGTACGGCATCGCAGAGATGTCGGAGATTAAAGAAGACACCTTGGGTCAGTGAGACGAATGCATCCCGCGCTCACCTGCCCCCTCTGTGCCTTGCGCTAAGAGGAGCTCCAGGCAGGGACAGCGCCTCCTTTGTTTCCTGCTGAATTCCTAGAGCCCGCCCGCCCGCGAGCTGGGCTCCTGGCGGGCTCTCTAAATACACCAGCCTGTGGCGACTGGCCTGCAGGGATTCCCCTGCGGGGACCCTGCTGTGCCCTCCCACAGGATCGGCCAAGAGCGCCCACACCCAGTGACCAGCGATCCTGATCCTGGGGTCGCCCTCCGCCCACCCTTCTGCCAGGCCCCCTCTGAAGCCACACCGTGGAGGGGGCCTGTGGGGAGGAACTGAAGCCTCCTGCCGCCAGCCACAGCCCGAGGGGGAGCCTGCGGCCCGACCTCAGCTTGCCCACATCCTGGGCTGCAAGCACCCCGAGAAGCTGCCTCCAAGGTTCCGGCCCTCAGGACGTGGGGTGATTGATAAATGTCTGTTGTTTTAAGCTGCTGTTTTGAGGGCGCGGAGGAGCCAGCGCAGAGCCCCCACTCCTGTATCTCCAAACACCCCGGCAAGGGACCCGCTGGGCCACTGTGGAGTCCCTACCTGCAAGGACCCCCTTGTGCCCACCCCCCTCCACGCTGAGCCTCCACCAGGCTCCATCTTCCCTCCGGGCCCCAGCCCGGCCTTCTCGCTGGTGGACTTTCCCGTGGACAGGGTGTGCTGGAGCCGGCTCAGGAAACAAAACAGACATTTACATGAGAGTCCAGAGGTCTGGGGTGCAGCAAGAGCCATCCCATGGAGTAGGGCTTGGTTTGTTTTTTTTTATAGAGTTTTAAAAATTAGTATGCCATGTGAAGGGACGTAAACTCCTCTCTTGGTTTCAATTTTGAGGACTGCTAAGGGGACGTGGGTCACTCTCGTCTCCATCGGCCTCCTCATCAGGGCCTGTGTGAAGAGGTGAAAGGAAGCTGTCTCACAGTTCCTCCTGGTGCATCAGGGCTGTGTGTCCATTATTCAGACTGCACAGGCTGGGGCTCCACTCCCTGCAGCTGCCCGTCCCACCACCGCAGGTGCAGGCCAGGAAGGTGGACGGCTGGCTGGCATGGCCGGGGACGGCAGGCGTTTCCTAGTGATCACAAGCACACATAGGACCGGGCATGCAGAGAGAGGGGACGCTCTGGGTAGAGACAGGACGGGGACAGAGGAGACACGAGGTTTGGAGCCTGTGACAGCCAGCGGAATCAGGAGAGCTGGAGCAAGGCACAGAGGGCACTTTCCCAGAATGTGAGGAGCGAGTCGTCAACTTACCAGGCCTCCCAGAGACGCTGGGATTACTTTAATGAGAGAGACCCCGACTTTGCAAAAGTCTAAATTAATTCTTTGCTCAGCCGTTCACAGGGGAGGATGAGAAAGTAGTAGCTTCCAGAAATCATAATACATTTTCCTTACTGGGGCGAATTTTGCGAGAGAAAGAGGAAGGGGTGGGAAATAGAGGAACTCGGTGGTGGGAGACGAGCTTTGCTTCATGTTGGTGTGGAAGTGAGAAGTTCCCCACGACGTGAACCTTTAGAAAGAGCCCTCACGGGCCCCTCCCCGAAGCTTCTGTGCAGAGCGCTCCAGGAAGCAACTCCCGGGCCACCGGGCCACCGTTGCCCTCCTGGGCCCTGAGTCCTCCCTTCCTGCTGCCGGCCAAGCTTTCCAACTCAGGCCCGGGGCCACTCCCTGCATGTGCACACCTGGCGATGACTGGTCGGAGTGCGCCCTGCGGAGCTGGGCACTTTTATTACGTGTTACACTCCAGTATTTCTTACTACCAGTGGGATTTGATGGAGGAAGAGAAAGGGGGTTCTCCAGCCCCCCGAGGTCTTGGTGCCGATCACCCCAGAACCACTCATTCCTCGCTCCTTCCCATGGAGATTGGCCCCAGCCACTGCTCCAAGTCCCCAGTGGTGGGTCACCTCGTTCCTTCTTGTCATGTCCCATCAAGGGCCTCCAAGGCCCCTGGCTGGGCTGGCCCCTCCCATCCCAGAGTCTCCCCACAACCCCCTCACCGCAGCCCGTGGGCCTGATCGGGGAAGTTTCCCAGCGACTGGCCTGGCCTGACGTTTCCACTGGCACGCAAGTGGGCCCAGATCCAGCCCAGACTCCTGAGTCACAACGGGACTTTACGGAGGAGTCCAGTCTCTCCCCAGTCCCTCTAATTTCATTTCTCCCCTGTGTCACCCAGAGGCAGGCAGAACTACATCCACACTTGGAGCCTGGCATCCCACAGGAGCGTGAGGGTGGGCCGGCAGACCTGGCTGTCCTCAAAGCTTCCACGTTCTCCTCCCCAGGCTGCCCCCCACTCCTGCCCTCACCCCCACATAAACCCTCCAGCTCCTGAAATGGAAAGGTCATTTCCAAAGATGTGTCATGACACCCCAAGCCGCCCCAAGGCACTCCCCAGATGCTGGCCGAGGGCATGTTGGCTCTGGCTCCTCTCTCCACTAGTCCTGCTCCCCGGCCTAGCCTGGCTCATGTGGTCCTCCACATTCTGTTTTAATCACCTTTACCGTTGCTCAATCTCTGGAGCAATTTAAGGCACGGATTTTCCTCTGAGCACAGCCTTTAGCTGCGCCCCCAGATTTGGTGTGAACTGTTCTTCCTTTCCTGGTTCACAGAAACAGAAACCCTCTTTCTAGCTTTGACTTCCGGGAGTGACAACCAGCCCATGTCCCCGAGTTCCACATCCGAAGATTCACAAGACCCCCAGATGGCAGATATGTCTTAAAAAACTTTTTTCCTTACTGAATCCATACAGACCTCCTTCCTGGTCGCTATTCCTTAACGATGTCGTATAACCAGCGACACACGGCGTTTGCCCTGTTAGGAATTACAGTTAATCTAGAGGTGATTTAAAGTCCTAGGAAAGCTGTGGAGAGGTTAAACATTACGTCTTTTTATATAAGTGACTTAGGCATCCTCAGATTTTGGTATCTGTGGGGGGTCCTAGAACCCACCCCTTATAGATACCAAGGGACGACCTCTTTGGGGAGAAACTTCCAATAAAGCGCACCCACTTTAAGTGTCCAATTCAGTGAGTTTTGACAAATATGTCCACCCAGATAAACAACTGTCCCCAGTCAAAACACAGAACACTTAGAGCACAGCCACTTGTTTAGTATTTACTTTAACGTCGCTTGATTATGATCAGTATGTAGCCCATACAATTTTTTTTGATTTTGTAGGTTTCTTTTGTACTCAAAGGAACCCCCCTCAAAAGGACTGAATCATTAAAAATTTTAAACCTCTGATATTCTCTCTCTTTCTGCCGGCTTCCTGGACTTCACCCTCAGGGCCCCCAGCACGTCCATCCTTAACTGCCGGCTCTGGTCAGGTTGAAGCGTTGTCAGGCTTTTCTGGGTGCCCCAACTCTCCCCTGCAGTGGGTGGCTTCCTGAGAGGGCAGGGGCCACATCGTCTGCACCCCTGTGCCTCAGGCCATCCTGGAATCCACATGGTACAGCTGTCCTGCGGAGCTCGCGGATGGCAGTGGACTTAACCCAGCCCCGGGCCCTGGAAGCCCACGCAGGTAGGCAGGCGGTTGGAAAGCCTGGCTCTGTCTGCACCCCGTCTCTGCCTTGGCTCGACTCGGGGCAAGAGGCTCAGGTTGTTCTTCAGAGAGCCTGAGTGATGAAGGGGACCCTCACATCCCTCCGACCTTCCTGCCACGGCCCAGGGGCTCTAGTGAGTAAGTCACTTAACTCGTCACCGCCTCCGGGTGTGGGGGCTACAGATGGGGGGGCCTATGGATCCAGCCGGGGGAGGGGCAGGTGGAGAGAGATCTCTGAGGCCCCCAGGGCTGGCAAGGCCTCCGAAATCCAACCCAGGAACCCTCCCAGGGGACAATAGCAGCTGCCACTGCCCCTCACTGCATCCTTGTCCCTGGCTGCCAGGCACCCCTGCCAAAGGAAGGACCCGTGACTCAGCTGACAGACTCCACGCTCTGCTTACCCCCCAGGCTCCACTGCGAGGCAGGCCCTGCGCACCTGCTGGGGAGAGGGGCAGATGCCACGCCGGTGGCACGTGGCCTGGCTGAATGTCTCCTTCTCTTTCCCTTCCCTTTCCTGCCCTGGCTTTCCTGTCCAGGAGAACTCTGGACTTGATGGTGAACTTGGAGGCCTGCAGGGCTGCCCCCACCCACCTCCATCCTGCGCTGCCTCCCAGGACGCTGGCTTCTCTCCACCAGGGACTTCCTCTCTCCCCTCCAGGCTCAGCTCCTCCTGCTGGCTCCAGGCCCCCGGAAGGGCAAACACGAGGGGATTTGCAGAGCAAATGGGCCTTGCACACAGGAACCTGAATCCCAGATTCCTCCATCGCCTCAAACAGAACACCTTGATTTGGTGCTAGTGTGCCTCGAGCATCGTCCTCCTGATCAGAGAGCGAGCAGGCCGGGCTTGGTGCAGAACGCAGCCCTCCGTGTGGGCTGAAGGTCTCGTTTCTGTGGGGGCCTCAGAATCACCGTTCACTCTGAGAGCGCCCCAGGGACCACCTCCCTTCTCCTGGCTGATCCTGGACTGTCCCATTCATAAAACGGGAAAGCGGGCCTCCCTCTCAGGTCCCTGCGATGCCATGCTGCCCGAGAGCCGCAGGCCCCAGCCCAGTGCAGCCGCAGTGGTGGCCTCTGGGGTGAGCACCAGGGCAGGGGCGGGAAGGCCACCTTGCAGCTGGGGTGAGAGCTGCCCGGAGGACAGGAGCAATCACAGCTGGGGACACATCCTAAGAAGCCACCTGGGCTTGGACAGTGTGGGCCCAAATTGAACGAGGACCACAAAGCAACCGCTGCTCAGGGGGGTGGGGCTGAGGTCGCGGGGAGCAGGGGGAGGGTGCGGTTGCTAAGCAACGCGTGCTGGTGCCGGCGTTGGCAGAGATGGCCCAGGCACCAGGGCATCCGTGACATCACCTCGTGCCGCTCCAAAGTCACAGTAACCTCTGTCCCTCACAGCTGCCCCCGAACACGGAACCGGGGAAGGTGAAACCAAGGAGCCCACGCCACACGTGGGGACAGACACCTGAGAAGCCAGAAGAGCAGCGACTGGGGCCGAGTGGAGACCCTGAGGCTGGACGTGAGAGTGAGGGGCAGGGGACACAGCGCCCCAGCAGCAGAAGCTTCCAGAAGACTTCCTGCCCTGGGCAGCTCCCCACAGCTTCCGGGAGGGAGGCTGTGGAAGCAGGGCCTGGGGACACTGGGCCAGACCCACCAGAGGCCAGAAACAGGGAAGCTGGGGGGGGTCTTGAGACAGCGGAGGGAGGGGGCAGGTGGGGGGCTGGGTCACTCCTTCCTTCCTCCTGTGAACATTCATGGGTCCCACGGGGGGCCAGGCTGCCCTGCGCTGGGTGGAGGGACAGGTAGGGTCGCCGTCCTCGTCCCTTGGTCAGTTTAACACTTCACAAGGACACACGGAGCCAGGAGCTGCCTGGGCACAGGGACACCGGACCCCGGAGCCCCTCCCTCCCAGAGCTGGTGTCCTGAGGGGGTCTGACCCCAGAGCAGATGGACACAGTGACAAGATGGGGCCCAGGGCCCTCCTGTCCCTGTGTCTGCAGATCCTCCTTCCTGGGTCCAGGAGGCGTGGGCCCCCCCGGCAGCATCTTCTGCCCAGTTCACCTGTGGGTCCCCTCGAGGGCTCCAGCCACCACTCAGCCCTGACGCGTCCTCTCCAGGGCACAGAGAGGCCAGCTGGGGGGACAGCACCCTCCCTTCAGGACCAGACCAGGCGAGAGGCTCCGTGGGCAGAGCCGGATCCGCACCCAGAGCCCGACTGCAGGAGACTCTGGGAAACGCCATTTCCACGTCCAGCCTCCACTCAGGAGGGCACAGGGAGGACAGCAGGGCTGGGCAGTGTCCTCGGGGCCTCCCTGGGCTGTCACCCCCAGGCCTGCCCTGTCCCCACTCTGAACTCTGCAGCAAGGTCCCTCCCACCTGTCTCTGGGACACCCCCGGGAGCCTGTGCAAAGGCCAGGACACCCCCTTCCTGGGAAACCAGAGTCCACTGTCCCTCAGCCCCAGGGGCAGCTGGGGAACAGGCGAGGGCTCACGAGGAACCTGCTCCGTCCCCCAGAGAAGCCATGTCGGCTGCAGCCGGAGAGGGCCCAGGGCTCGGGGACCCCCACGTGCCTGTCCCTCCAACACCCAGGGAGATGCCACGGACAAGGGCACAGCCACTGGGCCCTGTGCCTGTGTGCACCTGCCGGTCACTAGAGGGCAGGGACGGGGTAGGGGTGGAGCCTGGGGTCACAGAGGGAGGATGGCGTCCAGGAAGAGCAGACCCCAGGGAGCAGTTTGCATATGGTCATTTCAGAGCCAGATGTCGGGGGCAAGAAATTCCACTTGAGGTCACGCCGCGAGAACGTTCTCCCAGGACACTCCCACGGATGTGGCCAGCGAGACCAGAACCCTGAGCTGCCCCAGAGCACGGCTCCTGGGGATTCTCTGGGTTCCGATTCCAGAACACAGCTCAGGCCATGGCCTCAGGCCAG